CCAAATTAGTTATTGTAGAATTTTTGTACTTAGTCGTCCTAGCCCACAGTCTTCTTTAGTTGCTTCTAGTTCTACCTGATTAGATTCAGGGAGAAAGTTGTGTATAGACAGGATGCTCAGAATCTGACAAGATCATATTTGCTAATTTCTTACAGGAGTCAATGTATTAACGAGTTGGTTTAGCAACACTCCACTCACCCTAATGACGGCTTTTAGTGCCCTTTACAGTGTGACAAAGTCTTTCTTAAGTAGCCGGATAAAGATTATGCAGGGGGAGGGGGAGGAGTGAAGAATTGTAGCCATTGGAGTGGTTAATATGCAGCATTATACATAAAAATCCAGCATAGATGATGTGATCTCATTGATGGCATACCACAATATATCATGATAAAAATCCGCACTGTGGTTATCGTCGTTTGTTTCAAAACAAATTTCCAAGGTGCGAAAATTGTCACCCAAAGAGCTAAACAAAGGGTAATTTACTTATTATGATTGAAAAACAGATCACGATCCTAATCACAGACAAAGCAGAAAGGAGAAGGAATGCTATCGCGTCCACAAGACAGTAATTACCCCCAATTTATGAAAAACGGTATGTATAAAAAAGACAAATCTTTCATGTAAATAACAATACTACTATTTTCACCACAAACCTGTATTGACAAAATATATCAGTGAACTGCGAATTCAGCTTCTTTGCGCTTTGAATATTAATACGAAAATGGAATACTTCACCTGGTTTCAAGAAGTTAGGACAGTCGTCTGTGGAAACTTCCAATAGTTCCTTAAGTTGTCCTTCGTCAAGAAATCGGTTATCAGCTGAAGAAGCCGAAGAAAAGCCAAAACACATAAGAAGAAATATGTTATATTTAATAATAAAATTAAATCTTATGTGATATGCATCATTATTTTCTTCATATCCTACTGTTGTGGTCGTTTAATTACGAAGAATTTAAGTCAGTTTCTGGAGGAGTATCATCGGTTTTTGTTAAGTTTAGATGGGGAAAAAGTTGGGGAAAAATCACAAAAATTCGGCTTTTTGTCAGTATCTTATGAGGGTGAGAAAGGATGCTCTGGAATAAGCTATACTTGGTAATGAGGAGCAATCAATGGATTTGAGATATTAGTATGATAAAAGCTTTTATGAAGCCCAAAATCCTACTAAAAGACCTTATGGCAATGACACGAATAGCCTTAGCACGATAATATAGATAATAAAGCTATAGTTCCTTTCTCATTGTAGTTCTTTTACTACCAATGTTCTCAGTGACGTCTCCATAATGACATTCAAAGCTTATCCATGGGAAGATTTTAATCTTAACAAAGGTTTTACCGTATTCTTGTTACTGATCGTATCAACCGGTTTGTTTCATTCTTCAAGAAATGAAGACTTTCTAGCACATTACATCAATTCAGTCCTTCAGTACAGTCGAGAGACTTTATGTGTGACCATAAGCATTTTAGAACAAGCCTCATACTTGCATACACAACTACCTTCACTGACTGGATATTGAAGGTCAGGCAACCAGAATGTATTACAAACAAAAAACTCTGGGGATGAACCAACCAAGAGCTGACTGCCCAAATGGGAAACCTTGAGTTGGGCCTATATGGTAAGGATATTTGGAGAAGACCGTTTGAAATGGAGATAAGAACACAATATTCGGTGAAGAGACCCTTTTGAACGAATTTATTATCAAGCTGTACAATCGTATATATATATGGCGTGTTTTCAGAAATTGTATCCGGTGAGGGAATTAGATCAAAAGTGTAAACATATGAAATAATAATAGTATGAAATGAAACAAAAATATTTGTGATTATAATCATAGTTAAATTTCAAGTAGCAAAACAATTAATGTCATATATAGAATAATACATAAAGGAACCTAATTCATTCACTCTACACTTTAGGATAAGAAACATTTGTAGTTCTGATTGCGTTGGCTCAGAATTTGACTTCCTAAAAGCCACGCTAGTAGAAAACGGTTACCCGAACCGATTGATTGACACTAACACGAAAGATAAGCAGTCTAAGCTGGTCACCGACTCAGTTCCAAAGAAAACCTTATTCATGAACTTGGCATTCAAAGGTGATCAAGCATTAGATATGCTCAAAAATCGTCTCTCTAAAGCAGTCCGTAAGGCGTTCTTTGCAGCAAAATTACAGATGACGTTCACCAGCCGCAAGTTGTTCTCCAGCTTTGTAAGAGATAAGCTCCCGCATCTGGCCGCCTCCATGTGCATCTATCAGTTCACCTGCTCTTGTGGAGCTAGGTATATTGGCCGTAGCCAGAGGACGCTTTCCACTCGGACATGAGAACATATTCCAGCAAGGGAGAAAGGAAGAGTGTGCGAAGCTCTATTCTAGAACACCTGATCGACTCCTGTCACTCTGTCAACCCTGACCATGATTTTAAGATCATCTACCGAATCCATGCTAACTTGCTTCCGCGTTTTCTTCGTTACAGACTTCTAAAGACAGCGGAGGCCTTGGCAATTCATGACTTTAAGCCAGACCTTTGTGTACAAAAGAACTATGTACAATCCCTACTTCTGCCTTGGTCGTAGAGGAATAGACATTTATTTATTTTGTTTATTTAGTTATTCTATGTACTTTTCCCTTATTACTATTATTATTATTATAACTATTCTCACTCTGAATCTTTTCCACTTGACCCACTTGTCATTCTAAATCCAAAATTATTAATTTTTATATTTTTTATTTTTACAATATTGAATTCTACTATATCAAATTTCACACAATGTTATGTGACATTTTATATTTACGTACTAACCCCCTAATTCTGCACCCCTTTTCAACATGTATACACCTTATGTATTATTCATTATATGACATTAATTGTTTTGCTACTTGACATTTAACTATGATTATAATCAAAAATGTTTTCATTACATTTCATACTATTATTATTCCATGTGTTTACACTTTTGGTCTAATTCCCTCACCGGGTACAATTTCTCAAAAAGGCCATATATATACGATTGTACAGCTTGATAATAAATTCGTTGAAAAGGGTCTCTTCACTGAATATTGTGTTCTTAATGCTAAAATGGGAATTATTAAATTATTGAAGTGGAGATGACAGCTTATGGGTGATCACTGAGCCAACAATAGCCGACTGTAGAAAAACAGGATGAAACTGAGGCAGGCTGTGGAAGCCCAGTATTCCACCCGGAACCTGAGGGAGTAGTAATATAATAACTACTCTTTACGTAAGATTTTCTAAGTACACGGATATCTAAAGCCGATGTGAAACCAATGTAGTTATACTTAGGGTTGTAATAAATATCCTCACTCCACTTGCATAGTTCGCTTATATTATTTCTTTCGGTCATCATTATGGCTGAAACTTGCATTGGTTTGGGATACTGAGTACATTCAAAGTTAAGTGTAAATGAAACTTTTACTGTGGCAAATATCTAATAGTAATCTGTCATTATTACTAAAAACTGCCTTCATTTATAAGCATTTATGTAATATTATCAACGCATATTTCAAACGTCGAACTAGGTAGGAATGTCCTGAATTTCCTGATGACTGAATATACAATGCAGAAGGATTCTGACCACATTTTCAATTCACAATCCTTCACAAAATGTGAAGACTATAGGTTAGGAGGTTAACATTTAGTCTTCACCTTTATTAACACTTTTCGAACTAGAGATATAAAGATGCTGAGAGAAAGAAGGCTTGGGATTCGATGTCAGCCTATGAAAAGAAGCTATGGACTAATATACAATCAAGTAAAATTATTGATTAATGGAGGCTTCTCTGAAGGCTAAATGACATTCAAATAGAAAATGACTACAAGGTGTGAAAGACCCCCATTTCATCACCCATGTGTTCCTAGTTACACAATTCTAGGCGGAATCCATGCCCAGTAGGGTACAGAAGGTTGAAGGTGAGGTAGTAACTCACCGAAGAGGACATTGAGAAGTGGACGCGCAGAAGCTAGAATTCATGGGCTACTGGGCGGCTTCCCGGTGCTTTAGTTGTATACAAGCTTGCCTTGTAACCGGGAGGTCCTGGTTCTGAACCCCTGTGGGTGCCTACTACTGAAGAGCCCCAAACTAGGGCGAAACGGCTGTACAGTACTTCCAGGTTTATTTTGAATAAGAGGACACTTAATGCTTTTGAAATAGGGAAAATATTTAAGCCTACCCGTTTGCTTGGAGACACATTTTTACTGTTCTCAGGGATTCATTGACCTCTTTAAACAGAATAATTTAGTCGATGAATTACTGTTCAATGAGTAAGGTGTCAATTATAGTAACAAATTTAAACGATTTTCCTCAACCAGTAGATGAATGCGGGCAATTATATGGTTTTAATGTGTGTATTTATTTTTCAGTAATTATATCAACATTTTCAAAATATTTTTAATTGTTCGCATAATTTGAAGTAATTGCCAACTGGAAACTGTAAAATTCGCATAATCATTTCTTCTGATTGGCTATTTTATACAAATTAACTTTTATTAGCAACAAACTGCATTTTTTCACCTTCAAACTAACTCATGGAAATTAATCTGATGCTGGCTAGTGGCTGGCTGCAGGACAAAGTTGCTTGGAGTTCTAGTGATAAATTGTGACCTGTAGAGCCCATCCAGTTAGGGGTGAGGAGAAATAGTCTCCGATGACATTGGTTCGTAGTCGTGCACAAAATCACGAATCCGTAGAACTCAGAATTCATGGATGCCTGAATCGGGCCCCAGTAGCTAGATGATCTACGAGCCTTCTATTTAATCGCAACGCACTGGGTTCGAACCCCAATTAGTGCGTACTGTTGATGAGTCCCAAGCACTGGGATGAAATAGCCTTCGATGGCTCTCTAACCGAAATACCTTCAAAATGTCGCTAAATACTCTCTACTACTTAAAGTTTACAAGTAACATGATTATTTTATGGAAATAAACCAATAGTTTCTCTAATTAACGAGCTCATTGCAGCTGACGACCATGAAGTTATTTATGGTTATGAAGAAAGTATCATAACGAAATTTAAACTTGGAAAACTGCATAGGATTTAAGCTTACTAGCTAGATATGAGAGTTTCAAGTCTAAATTCCTCATCACCTTTTTAACACAAACTCTAGAGCACAATAAGTACGCCTATCTAAATGAAATTTCCAAAATAGATAACGAATTGATGTGGTTTAGAGAACCACTTGAAACCAGGAAGTAAGGTCATCAGCACCCAATCCATTACTTGCCAACACCTCAAAAATAATCTGCTGCTCGCTATTAACTGATTAGGGGATGACGTTCCTGACGTTCTGATGAGAAGACGTAATCACTGGAGTCCATCAAGCAGGGTATCAGAACAAGCCGATGATTCTGGCTTGCACCATCGATAATTATCACGAATTGACACAAGCTACATTCAATGAGCCAGTGAATTCCAATCCAGTAGCTGAATGGTCAAAGGACCTGTCTGCTGACCTGAAGGTTCTTGGTTCTGTCTCTGGTACGTCACTGATGAGTTGTTGAAGAATCTCAAATTAGGACGTAACATGTATCTGGTACTCTATGGATTTCAGTAATTATCTGACTGATGTCAGTTCATAAAATAACTTGGAATCAGTGAAATTCCTGTACATTAAGTTTTGAAAATAGCTGAAAATTGCCCATGATTGCATTTTTCAATAGGTTTAAGTGGATTCAATTTCAACAGCAACAGACTAACAATCAGCATAAATGGGAGGAACCTGAAAGAAACAACCTCCTTCACCTACCTGGGAAGCATCGTTTCAGCTACAGGCAGCGGAACTGACGAGGATATCAAAGCAAGAATCGGAGAAGCAAGACAAGCTTTCACTACTCTCAAGTCTGTGTGGAGGTCAACAGCACTCAGTGTCAAAAATAAGATCCAGATTTTCAACTCCAATGTGAAGTCAGTGAGTGCTACTATACGGATCAGAGACTTGCACTGCGCGTCATAAAGAGCACCTCAAACAAACTACAGGCCTTCATTGACAGTTGTCTTCGCTCAATACTCAAGATCAGATGGCCAGAGAAGATCAGCAACAGAGCGAACCAACCAGGAACCGACTGTGAAACAAATAGGCAGGAAGAAATGGAAATGGATTGGCCATACTCTTAGGAAGCCATCAAGTGACATCACTGGACAAGCCATTACTCGAGTGGAACCCGAAAGGGAAGCGGCGAGTTGGTCTTCAGTGCGAGGGTGGGTGACTTGGAGGAGGTGATGTAAAGAGGAGATGAAAACGTGTGGGCAGACTTAGAGCCAAGTGAAAACTCTAGCAGAGAACCGAACACAATGCAGACGTTCGGCTGAAGCCCTATGTTCCTCTAGGAATTAAAGGAAACAATAATAATAATAATTTCAATACGGTTTTCAGACAAAGAAAACTTACTAAGTGTCGATTCATGAAAAAACCGATGATGACATTTGGACTTCGCCATACCATCCTTCTGTTTTTTTACATCTTCATTTGCTAAAGGTCTCGGAGTTGGAGTATCATTTGTAACATTGTCGTTTTGTTCGTGTCCATGAAGATCATTTTCTATAATGTAGTATCCATTCACATATTTAGCATTCACCGTGGATTTAGGGAATCTCTGTGGAGGGATAAAAAAGTGATTGAAGAGTCACATGGAAACTCATACGCATACTGACTACATACATGTAATCTCAAAAAGTTATATTGAAACTGCCTAAGAGCTGCAATTCTGAAATCATACTCAGCATTTGGAGTGGATTGGCTAAAAATTATATTTGTAAAATCTCAGCGAAATTGAAATGAATAATTCCAACTTTTCCTGCATTCGGCAAACTGGTCCTGGAGAACTTCGGACCGAAATTGCCGACAACAGGAAACGTTGGAATTACTCATTTCAGTCTCCCTGAGATTTTACAAATATAATTATTTACAAATGTCTACTTCTCACTCGGCGCCCAATTATATTTTGGAACTATTCTGTCAAATCTTGATCACAGTTCATATGAATTATTTTGCAATCGAATTAAATTAACAAAGAAACTATGCAATTATTACAATCATCGTGTTTTCAATCTCAGTGGTCTGCAACAGAATGTATATCCTAAATTCGTAGCTGCCAAGTCACCTGATAACTCCAGCAGGTCGATTAAAGCAGCTTATTCCACAACTATAACATTTGTAGTGAGAACGCGTTCATACAGCAACCAAAAATTTGGAATCATTTCGAATGAGAATTTCCAAAATTGATGGAATCTTATCTGTCTTGGTTACTCCAGAAATGAAGATTGTCATTAACAACATACTTAAGTTTAAAGAAGCATTTTATCTTCAATTTTCAAAATGAAGACAAAGCAATAAGTTCGACAGGATGTTTCAACTAAACTCTAATCCTAAACACCATCATTTTAAAAATACGTTTAATCGTAAAATTCTAGATACTAACAGTTTGAGCAGACGTGAAGATGTGATGTTAGCTGATCCATGGCAAATGCTGATTAATAAATAAAAAATGGATATGTATCGCTAATTAATTATCCTTGGTCTAAATTCCCGATTGTCTATATCTTCTTATGGAGAGGCTAACAAATGTTTTACGACAGTCTACCCATATACACAATCACACACCACTGTATACCGCATATACACATATCCATTTTTCATATTCAGTTCTCTACGACTATAAACTTTTAGTCGAACGTAATCATTAAATTTTGATGCAAAAGTACACTGTGTTTAAAGTGTTTCACAAAAGTAGACCACTATTTGTAATTTGGAGTTCAAATTTTGATCACAGCTCATACAATTTTGTTTATTATGCTTGTTGAATGACTCATGATTGGACAAAGTTTTTAAAAACAAGTGATGTTCCTTTTATATATAAACCTCTGTTATTTTAATTTCGATTAATTTCCCCAAAGAAATTCTGACCAGTTTACCGAACGCAGGAGACGTTGGAATTACTCATTTCAATCTTGGTGTGATTTTACAAATATAATTTTTTACAAATGTCTACTTCTCACTCCGCGCCCAAATATTTTAGAACTATTCTGTCAAATCTTGATTACAGTTCATATGAATTATTTTGCAATCTAATTACATTAACAAAGAAACTGTGTAATTGGCATAATCATCGTGTTTTCACTCTCCGTTGTCTGCAACAGAATGCATATCCTAAATCCGTAGCTGTCGAGTCACCTGACAACTCCAGTAGGTCGAATAAAGCAGCTCAATATTCAGAAAGAAGACAATGCAATAAGTTTGACAGGGTGCTTAAACTAAACTCTAATCTTAAACACCATAATTTTGAAAATACGTCTAATCATAAAATTCTAGATACTAACAGTTTGAACGGGAATGAAGGTTTGATGTTAGCTGATGCATAGGAAATCCTGATTAATAAATAGAAAATGAATATGTATCACTAATTAATAATACTTGGTCAAATTCCTGACTGTGCATATCTTCTTATGGAGACGTTAAGAAATGTTTTACAATTGTTTACCCACACACACACATACACACTCTGTTTAAAGTGTTTAACAAAGGTAGACCAATATTTGTAAGTCCGAGGTCAAATTTTGATCACAGCTCATAAAATATTGTTTATTACACTTGTTGAATGACTCATGATTGGACAAAGTTTTTAAAAACAAATGATGTTCCTTTTATATGTAAAGCTCTGTTATTTTATAATAAATTATTTAAATTAATCCCAGCGTGTTAAGAAAATCAAAACAAGATTTTTCTGAACGTTTCGCTGTGTAAGCCACAGCTTCTTCAGCTGAGAAACGTTCGGAAAAATCTTGTTTTGATTTTCTTAACACTCTGGGATCAATTTAAATAATTTATAATGAATCAATCTGACTCGGTGCTCAAATTTTTCCATGAAGTTCGTAACACCTACGGTCTGGAAACCTATAACTCTGTTATTTTAATTTCGATTAATTTCCCTGAAGAAGTTCGGACCAGTTTGCCGAACGCAGGAAACGTTGGAATTACTAATTTCAATTTCGCTGAGATTTTACAAATATAATCTTTTACAAATGTCTACTTTTCACTCGGCGCCCAAATATATTTTGGAACTATTCTGTCAAATCTTGATTACAGTTCATATGATTGCCTATACATTTAAATTTACTGATGAAACCATAGGAAGTTAAAAAGAAGGGAGAAATGATTCCAGGGAATTTTAGATGGTTTCAGTATTCCGCATTTGAGTATGCATAGTCGGTTTACAATTTTCGAAAACACCGCAAATTGTGTTGACATCGAAAATGTCAATATATCATCCCTAATATCACTTCATTGAAACAAACAACACATTCATCTGATATGAACTTCCTGTTTTTCTGGATTTTCAATAAATCTATTAAAGTATATCAACTGATTACTTTAGAAGCTAAATTTAATATGACAGCTTTTAGTAAAGTTTGAAATGTTTATCAATATTTTTGAGAACAGTGGCACAGGATCTGGAAATTTGTAGCATTCTCAAAATATCTCTAATGTCCTTGAAACAGGTTCTCAAACATGTTGAAATTAATTGTTGAAATAGGAAAATGGAAACAAATGATGCTCTGCCTTGCAGTGATTTCTACTATATTTTAGATTTTCCCGTCGATTGATTGGACCGAAGTCCTCGGTCTCAGGTTGACATGTCGGCTTCTTGTGCAGGTGCTTTGACGATATCTAGACATGTAATTAGAATTTAATTGGTGAGCCGTGACTAGCAGTGGAATTCAGGATGCACATTTCGTCCTGCACAAGAAGTGGCCCTCGCAGCTCAAGTGGTCTATTGGATAACGCTTTGGCGTTCGAAACTATGGGCACTGGGTTTGAGCCTCGGTGGTGGGAAAATCATCACTCATTGGGGAATGCAGGTACATCCAGATGATGTCGACTCCCAAATAGGACGAAATGCGAGTTAATCTGGATTCCACTGCTAGTCACCATCCATCAATTAAATTATGATTTCTACTATATTTCGAAAAGTGGTTTCTGTCGATGGTGGTGAATATTGAATCATTTGATTATTCGGAGTGTTCTCCATTTGGCGGGAGAAAAGAAAGCTATCACCTCTTAATCGTACAGTGGTTGGTAGAAGATTCGAGAAATACGATTAGAAGTATTGCTGTACGCTATATTAACGTTTATCCACAGAATTTAGCATTGAGCAACAATTGCAAATCAGTTTCATTATCAGTTGAAGAATAAACAGTCCTACTGTCCAACCGTTTTATGTTATTCTGTGTCAGTTGCAGTGCTTAGTATTCTGTGTATTAGGCTTAGTCTTCTGAAACCAGCGACAGATCCAGGATCTTTGAGATCTGGATATTTGACAGTTTCTATTTCATGCTTTTAGAATACACTAGAAATAGTAGAACTTAGAATGATTAGCTGTAAAGGAGATGATTAGACTTTGGCTTGTAGGATGAAAATACGAGGCCTGATGATTACCTTCATACATCAGGACCAGTATAATAACTACAAGAAAAGCTTATTTAATACGTTCGCAAAAGAATGCAAACCGTTACGTGGAATAGATAATTCCACTCTCTGCTATGAAGCAGCCACTTAGTAACACAGATGTCTTGGTGAAGCGAACAACCATGGGGGAATTAGAAACCCAAGTTTATAGAAAACCAACTCACACAGACAAAATACTGAATTACAACAGCAATAATCCAATAGCACACAAGAGGAATTGCATACAAACACTATTCAAGAGGGCCTGGACTCATTGCAGCACTCCCACCTTAAGGGAAATCGAAGAAAGATATCTCATGGACGTCTTCCAAAAGAATGGATATCCACCGAATTTCATCAAAAGACATATACCCCCAAACCAACCTATCAAACCAAAAGCCCCCAACGAAAGCACGATGAAAGTCACCCTACCATATATAAAGGACATATCAGAAATCACCGCAAGACTATTCAAACCTTTAGGAATTGACATCGTTCACAAACTAACAAGGTTACTTCACTCAATTCTATGTCAACCAAAAGACTCAACAGCGAAGGAAGATAAAACCAACATCATCTACAAAATAGATTGTATCAACTGCGAAAAACACTACATTGACCAAAGTGGACGTCCCCTTCGTTTTCGTATCCACGAACATAAGCTAGCTGTCAAAAGACATGATATCCACTCCCTCATATCACTACATATAGACAACCACGGGCATCAATTCGATTGGGACAATGTCCAAATATTAGACAGAGGAAACAAAAAAATGCTAGAGAATTTTTAAAAGGCTGCCTGTTTTTCAAGTCAACCGTCAATCAATAGACACATTGAGATTAACAAAATTTATCAACCGATAAGAAAGAAACCTCATACACAAAGGGTCAAAGTTCAAGTCAAAGAAACAGCCAGCTCCAATACAAGTAGCCTAGAAGGTGTGAAAACACACAAAAACAACCAATCAAGTCCAAGGTCACTCACCGGGAGAGATGATTAATAAACTCGTGGAGAAATCTAAAAGCTCACTTCAGATTCAAGTATGCGTTGAAGATGTCACCTAGTAGGGCGATGAAAGCTTCGCAAATTAACTGCCCAGCTCATAGAACACAACCACATCAAAAACAGATAAACAAAATATGAGGATCAATTGGTATCATAAAATGATGAAGGAAAACTCTTTAGAAAGTGAAAGAAGCCTCCTCAAAGGGAGGCGCTTTCATAGTTAACAGAACTTCAGTTTGGAATGACGAGAAAAGCATCAGAGGTACAAAACGTTGAACCGCAAATAACCCACCTACAATAGAAATCAAGTTGCATGTGTTGCACGTGACAGATTCTACGCAAAGTATGGTGACTTTTGAGTGTATTTGAGATTATTGATGCCATATTTTTAAAGATCCCCTTGAATTCAAACACTTCTGTGGAGATCTAAAAATTGTTCGTCAAACTTTACATTGAAATTGTAATATCCGTGAAACTATGTGTATGATAGCATGCTAAATAATACTGAGAAATCTCCCAAAGGATTCGAAAAAGTCTTTATTTCATCAACCCGGATGTTTGATTTACCACTATGATAATGCAAGTAGTAAGGATAACTACTTTATCGATCTTGAAATACAGAGTCAGGTGATGGCTGAAAAGAAGGAAACTTTCACTAAGGATTCTGTATGTCTCAAAAGTGCAAGAACCAAGAATCATATCAGACCAGTGAGAAATACAAAGTACCAATTCTCATTATGGGTGATGTAACTTTGTAGCTGCAGCAGATAAGAGAATTGGTGACGGACCTTAAATTGAAGAAAAATACATTATATAAATACATTTTTTTACCACATTAAAATTTGTCTAGGTCAGAGGAGAGAAACTAGTTCTGATTGGTTGGCGCTTGACCCAAGGTTAAACTATAAGACGAAAAATTGTCTACCATGTTTATTTCATGTCCTCATTGTAAACTGGTTTCAGATTTGTGGAATAAACACTTCTACCTCTGCAGCAAGCTGTTGACTTAAAATGCAGATTTCAATTTCGCCGCCGCTTTCTACTAATTTGTATGTTTTCTTTTTCTTTTTTATTCCTTCACGTTCCCCAGTGGAACATAGTGCTTCAAGGTACAGGCCTGAAGTTTCTGTAGTAGTGGTGATTATTTTTACAGGATGGGGTTGCTAGCCTCATGCCTACCCTTTCCTCTTTACCAGTTTAAGTTCTGGCTTAGCGAGGTAAAGGAACGCGCCGGCCGGGGGTCGAACTCCAGACAACTTACATGGTCGGCGAGCGTCCTTACCGCTATACCACCGACGCACAAATTTGTATGTATATACTACTTATTCATCTTATCAGTAGCACATGTCACGAATTTCAGTAAACCTCTGGTGGTAAAATACCTTTATGATTTACTTACCCAATTCATATAATGTAGATCGTTAAATGAAACATCAAGTTCATTGTCTGAATTAACTTCATCATTATGTACGCCTGACTGACAAGTAGACTGTCGATCTGTTTTATTCTCCTGATGCTTATTCGTCATAATAACAGGTTGAACTTCAATATTTAAAAGACCAGTAATTTGAGAATGTTCATTTAACAGAGTGACTTGATGAGTCATTGATACACCATAGTACAAGTTAGTTAAGTATAAAAGACCTCTAAATAGGATAAAGGAAAATTAGAAATATAGCAATATATGTGTAAAACTTGGGGACTGTGATAGCAAATAATTCCATAATAGTTTACTTATTAGATATATCACACAATGAAACAGTATCATTTAGTAGATGACGCCTTTGTTCTCTACTATTTGTCGTAAGGGTAGTAGAATTTTCCAGATATCTGAGCAGGTGCTGAACCATCCCTATTACATGTGTTTGCAGTTGACTCGATAAAGAAAGCTTTCGTTATCAATCTCTCCCTCCATTCTGTTACATTAGATTTCGAAATTGTCATCCTATTCCATCCATCCTATTGTATGGTTGTGTGTAACTGCATGTAGTGAGGGCTTTAGGTGAACTATTCTCCAGATTTCTTATCTTGTTAGGCTCAACTAATCTAGATTTTGCTAGGCTTTTATGCTCGGCTAGTCTGACTGACTGCACCTGTTCTACTGCTTTCACCTATGTATTTGACCTGACAATCGTTTCAGGTAGGGTATTAGATAAACTAAATTGTTTTGTTTTATTGGCTCCACGGGACTGGTCCTTTAACCGACAAAGCTTGTTTCTAATTGAGTTTGTGCTTGGTTTGAATGTCAGCCACTTTCATTCCTGACTTGTTAAGAATTCTCCGCCATAAGGTTTCCGAGGTTCCTTCCTTGTATGGAATTACTACAGATGATTTAGATTCCTTATTGTTGGTGTCGTCATTAATATTATTATTATTATCATTATTATCACTATCACTACTATCACTATTTATTTTATTTTTACATTTCCCTAAATACTCTGTGACCAATTTATCAGGATAATTATTAAGTTTCAAAGCTTCTCCTCTTATATGACTCACTTCCTGTCTCAGATTTTCCGTGATACTATTTAGTTTTTGTGCTCCAATCCTATCTTCACAGACATAGGATGTGATGATCGGAAATCCAAATATGTTTGATTTTGTGGGTTTCCTGTAAACAATAGTGCGTGTTTAATTTACTATCTTCTTTCATTTTTACACGCTACAATCTAACATTGAAAGCTCCCCTTCCTGACTTTCCAATTCATAAGTGGATTGAATTGCCTCCACCTTTGAGTTAATGTGTTCAAAAAATCTATCTATACCCTGTGTTCTAAGTACAGTGAATGTGTCATCTACATACCCCCACCATACTTCTGGGGTGGGACTGAAGATTTCAATCGCTATGTTTTCCCGCCTATCCATGAATACATCTGCTACAACCGGGGATATTGGTGATCCCATGACAACTCCCTCAGTTTGTTTGTATATTTTTCTTTGGATTATAAATGATATGATTATGAACAATAAATTGTGTTCGAAACTTTGCCATCCAGTAAATAAAACTGTCTCACTGTGTGTGATATATCTAATAAACAAAACTAATATAGAAATACAGAAAATTGAGTATCTTTCTTTAGAAGACATTAGTCAATGAAAATTAACTAACTAACTTATGTATAAATCAGAATACTAAAAAACCATTTCAGTAGTCTTTAGCTTTGTCTTCTTCAGTTTCTTCTTCTTCTTCATCTTCCACCTCGTAAATACTAACCCTTCCCGCCTAATTATGAATTTGTCACTTGTCTTTTTAGTCAAGAGAAATAAGTTTTCCTCATTAGTGGAATTGTAAACGTTGTATAAATAACTGAAATCCACCGATATCTACATTCAGCCACATGGGCTAAGTTACCATTCTTCTATATTGTGTGTGTTTTCAGCTGAGAAATAGGTTTTTAACGCAATCATCAGTGCAACTAGGTTACATCTCAAGCATTACAATAAGTGTGGGTTCAGTAGACGACATGTTTACAATCTATCAGTGAAGTAATTAAACTCTTGTAAATCAATGCTGAATGATGGGAGACACTCTGATAGCAGGTAGGCCCGATAGTAGGTTTCGCGTCTGTTGATACTCATCAGCAGTTCGTTTCTGAAGGAGCAAAACGTAAGCGACGGAGATGTTGAATTCCCATACAAATTGGCGATTTTAGATCAAAACTGTATCACCTAAAGTATAAAGTATATATATAATGTCATCTATCATTAATTGTCCTCATGACTTATTTTCATATGTAAAATTAAAAAAAAAACAAAAGGAGAAGAATGCTGGTGGTAATAAATTACCTTCCAATTTTTTGATACCATGGAAATTCATTTCGAAATGGATCTTTTTTAGTCTCACCAGATGCTGCGTCATGATCATCAGGATTATAATGTCCTCCATAGATTGGATTGTTTGCAAAACTTGTAAGAGTTGGTGAAAATGCTGTTTCAACTTCATAGTAATTACGCATAGTTTGAAGACGCCGCCTAAATATCGAATAAGAGACATTTAAAACAATGTTAAAAAGAGTAAAGTTTGTAATAAAATGATAACAGCTATCAGCATTGGAGAATATTTTAAAAAACACGCCAAAATCTGCTTATTTCTCCTTAAATTTTCTGTCAAGTGTAAGATAAAGGACTGAAAGGTGCCAGTGTTAGTTCAGAGGAAAGACAAGGTATCCAGTAGTGACTTCATTGTCTTTCTCAAGTTTTGTTACTGAACACAATAAAACTCCCCTTAGAAATGTAGACTAATGGAAGAAGGATTCTTTTAGTTTCCTTTGAGTTACTTGGACGGGTCTTCTAGCTTGCTTTATTTGTCGCTATTATGGTCAACAGACTTCCATCTTCTTGGATACTGTCATTGTTGTTGTAGCTATCGTCTTCCCTTTTCAATGTGAATGAAGTCTTTGTAAGCGATCTGATATGTAAACCATGTTTTTCTATCTAATTTTCAGTTCGCAAAAGCCCTGAGTGTCATATGATTCACCAACCGTTACAGATCATCTGGATTTCTTTCCATAACCCATTAAATACTCCACCTTCACATCTCACAACTCCAGTCCACAAAGCATTACCTGATGAAATTTCACCAACTATTGACCGAATGTCTATGTTGGCTGTTTCGCTTCTCTTAGCCTCATGAACATATTAAATGCCTATAAATATGCCTAATTGACCATTTATCTGTCGGTAAAACGACAGCAGCGGTAAATAGCAAGTTTCTTTTTGTCTAAGTATTTGTATAAATACTGAAGAATCGCTTATTTTAAATACTCCCTTAGGTTCCAAGTGGGACATACTGCTTCAGGAGAACATCTCCATCTCGTCCTGCTCTCTGCAGTCACCTTCAGCTGGCTCTACAACTGCCCATAAGTCCCCATCTCCCTCTCGCACAATCTCCCGCATGTCACTTAAGGAAACTCAACTCGCTGTTTATCATTCGGGTTACACTCAAGTTGACTGACGTGCCACGTCACTCACCAATCTCCTCAGAGTGTATCCGATACATCTCCATTTTCTTCGGCACATTTGTTGGGCTGTGGGTTCATAGTTAGTCTATCTGTAAAGTCCCTCGTTGCTAATCCTTTCTGATTGGCCATCGGATCTTTAGTGAGCATAGCTGTCCATAAAAGTCGGTTACCTGTTAGAAATGCTGAAGACCTCTGTGGTGCGGTAATTATTATTATTTCCTTTAATTGCTAGAGGAACATAGAGCTTCAGCCGCACGTCTTCATTGTGTTAGGTCCTGTGCCAATGTTTTTACCTGGCTCCATACATGCTTTCATCTTCTCTTCGCATGATATCCTCCATGTCACCCTCGCACTGATGACCAGCTCTTTTCTTCCCATTCGGGTTCCACTCGAGCGATGGTCTGGCGTGTGATGTCAATTGGTGGTTTCTTTTCTCAGAGTACGACCCATCTACCCCAATTTCTTCCTGCATATTTCTTGCACAGTTGGTTCCTGCTGGGTTGGTTCGCTCATTGCCAGAGATCCCTCACTATTGCTGATCTTTTCTGGCCATCTGATCTTGAGCGAAGACAGCTGTTGATGAAGGCCTGTAGTTTGTTCGAAGTGCTCTTCATGACACGCCAAGTCTCTGATCCATACAGTAAGTAGCACTGATTTCACATTGGATTTGAAAATCCGAATCTTATTTGTCATGCTGAGTGTTGTTGACCGCCACAAAGACTTGAGAGAAATGAAAGCTTGCCTGGCTTTCCCAATGATCCTCGCTTTCATTTCCTCATCAGTTCCGTCTGCCTGTAGTTAAAACGATGCTACCCAGGTATGTAGGTAAAGGAGATGGAGGTGGTATGTTACTACGTGTCACTAGTACTTTGAAGATTTCGAAATAGATAAATAAAGTGGGCAATTCAGCCCACTGATTTGAAAATACCTCGTATAATTTTTTAGCCGCTTATTCACATACCAATTCAAGAATCTATCATTACAGGCTGAAAATAACACGTTTCACTGTGACTCTTTTCACCTCTACATTTATTTCCCAAAATTGTGCTGTTAATATGATCAATTACCTAATTCAGAAATCGGGAACTGGTTTATATCTGGGGGAAATAAATTTTCAATGTCCAATATGTATATAAAATGAATTTAGATCTCATAAAGCATGTTTAGTGCCCTGAGGCAAGAAAAGAATGTTGACTGAATATCGGATAACCTTGATAGATGTATTTATTAGTATCTAAGGTAAGGTTAGAAATTATATTGCGCAAGCTGCCACATTAATGACAATGACTTTACTTTCGAAACATACCCATGTAACTTATAAAAATGAATAACAGTTGCTTCTGCTGATGTTTGAGGTAGACAAATATGTAATCTTTGCAGTAGGTTAGTTAGTATTCATAAGTGCTACTTTGTATGATTGCATTTCTAAACATAATTCCTAAATGCCGTTTCCTCTATCTTATCTAAAGAATTTGTTACTTCTATGTCCTAATAATGTGAGGTTCATATTTGACAGTGTGGCTGCGGAAAGCCTATCAAGTGTCTCTTTCAGCAGATATCTATCTTGTCTTACACTGAGAGTTTATCGGAAGATTTAACTGAAAATATGCCAATTTATAGAAGATATGTTGATGGCAACTTCACCATAAATGATGGCCTTAGTTCTGCAACTTCAATTTTAGATTGAATGAGTGAAGTGCAAAGCAATAGGTCCCATTTCCATCTTTACAACATGCAGAAAATTGTCAGTGTTTCATAGTTATATTGCCCAGCTGGCGGCCAGATGGACCAATCCAGTGATCTATTTACATAAAACTTACGTGAACAGGATAGTATCGTGATTACCACAGATTTACTGCTGTTCAGTACAAAAGATCTTTGGTGAGGTGTCTCTTTAGGAGAATCTGGTTAAGGCGGTCAGAACACCAAGACCGATCCTCAAACTCACAGCTAAGGTGGATGTATATATCAAACAACCTTACATAGGTGATTATAATAGCTTGACACTTTGATAAAGATTGGACACTAAAGTCAGAAAGACATTTTATGCAGGCAAGTTCCTGATAAGTGAGAATATGAACCTCATGTATCCATCGAAGCCCTTAGAACATATTTAAACGGATGCCACATTCCATCGCACTTATCGATTTAAATATATGATGGAGAAGATTTGTAGCTCAAGTGGATGATTTTGATGTGGTTGTGTTCTCTGAGCTGGATAGTTAATTTGAGAAGCTTTCATCGCCCTACTAGGCGACATCTTCAGCGCATACTTCAATTTGAAGTGAGCTTTTAGATTTCTCCACGAGTTTATTAATCATCTCTCCCGGTGACCTTGAACGTGATTGGTTGTTTTTGTGTGTTTTCACACCTTATAGGCTACTTGTATTGGAGATGGTTGCTTACTTGACTTGAAAGTTGACCCTTTGAGTGTGAGGTTTCTTCCTTATCGGTTGATAAATTTTGTCTATCTCGATGTGTCTATTGATCGATGATTCACTTGAATACCAGGCTTCTAAAAATTCTCTAGCATTCTTGGTGTTTCCTCTGTCTAATATTTGAACGCTGGTTGTCTCAGTCGAATTGATGTCCGTGGTTGTCTGTATGTAGTGATATGAGGGAGTGGATATCATGTCTTTTGACGGCTAGCTTATGTTCATGGATACGAAGACGAAGAGGACGTCCACTTTGGCCAATGTAGTGTTTTTCGCAGTTGTTACAATTTATTTTGTAGATGATGTTGGTTTTATCTTCTTTCGCTGTTGAGTCTTTTGGTTGACATAGAGCCAGCTGAGTGAAGTGATTTTGTTGGTTTGTGTGCAACGTCAATTCCTAAAGGTTTGAAGAATCTTGCAGTGATTTCTGATATATCCTTTATATATGGTAGGGCGACTTTCTGTTTGCTTTCCTTGGGGGCTTTTGGTTTGATAAGTTGGCTTGGAGGTTTATGTCTTTTGATGAAATTCCTTGGATATCCATTCTTTTGGAAGACGTCCATGAGATATTTTTCTTCAATTTTCCTTAAGTTGGGAGTGCTGCAATGAGTCCTGACCCTCTTGAATAGTGTTTCTATGAAATTCCTTTTGTTTGTTATTAGATTGTTGCTGTTGTAATTCAGTATTTGGTCTGTGTGAGTTGATTTTCCAATTCCTCCGTGGTTGTTCGCTTCACTAAGACGTCCAAAAATATATACATGTGGTCACATATACACACACAGGATTTGTTAACCTCTGCAAATAACGACTTCATCTGATATATCTAAATGACTTCAGAAGCAAATAGAATCTGCTGAAGCAATTAATGATGCAAACAGACAACTCAGCTCTTCCACTGAGAAACCTACTATAGATATAGGGAATAAACTGGATATTCACACCTCTGTTAAACCTACCTATACAAAGTGTTTGGGGCGTATCCCAAAGTCTCTTGAACGCATAGCTATTAGGAAGTTTAAACCGCCTTCATTTCATCACATTAAAGCTTCCTTGCTAAATTTTATTTTGACATCAGTATATATTTATGTATCATTATCTCCCTTCCTTGGTTTATTGTTCTCGATTATTATGTTAACTCTAAGTATTACCTTTTATCTGGAAGTGTTTCAATTCTCACTTCTTAAATCTTTATTGTTTTTCTATGTAATTCTGTGGAAAATACATGTGTGGTCAGGTTGTTCGAAATGATTCAGATAAATTGTGTCATTTACTGTTTTACCGTAATGTACGGTAGAAAACAGTAAATGTGTTCTCGGTGTCAGCTAGATAAGCAAGTATGAATGTTTCCATGGTTTTAATCTATTTCATAGTTAGTCATAAGGGGTGGTCTACAGAATTTGGACTGTAAGCCGGTGTAAAAATCTGTGGTGAGTACTGGAATTTACGGCGGCATTCATGTTAAGACACTGTAGTAAGAACAACTATGAATAAACCCCATCTCCAATAACTACATTTTCTGATGGCAAACAGGTTTTTCATACCCACATTTAAAACTGTCAGATTTAACTACACTGAGGTAGATAACTGAGTCGAATATAAGAAGTAAACCAAAGTTTTAACTTCTCGCATTAAGTTTCGTTTTCCCCAGAAAAGACTAAAATTATTAAGCCGATTCAGTGGGCAAGAGAGACAGAGGGACGAAGGTGTATAAGGTTCTATAAATGTTCTTCATTCTTACGGATCGTCTTGCAACATAAGTATACAGTACCTGACATTTTAAATTCGCCCTTTTAGAACTTATATATCTGACTTAGGCACTTCGTAAGTAAGGCTTTCACCATTTATACTACATTCTACGACTTTCTACGAACTTATAGGCATTCATTTAGAGGGGAACAACAGTAAAAATAGAGTCAGGAATTATTTCTTAAAGATTAAAGCCAAGTTATATTTATACAGAACAATTACTTCCTCCAGTACACTTCAAAAAAGTAGTATTACTAATGTCTAAAACTACTAATTCGCATTATTCTGGGGAGAGTGAAAGGTGCACTTGATACAAAACTCCGCCAGCCGGAACAGGGTGGATTGAGGAAAGGTAAATCATGTGCACATAAAACTGCAACTCCACCTGTCGTAATCGAACAGAGAATTGAATGGAAGTCAAGCCTCTATCTCAGTTTCATCGAGTGTTGACGGCGAAGTAATTCGGAAGCTACTTCAAAACCGCGGAGTGGCTCAAATCTTTTTATCAACCTCATTTAACAGCTGGCTGTTTGACAGTGCCACATGTCAGGAAAGCCTTTAAAGTAAGACAAGACTGTCTGCTATCACCAATGATATTCCGAAATGTATTGGACTGGATCATGCCGCAGACTTGGGGGAGTGAGAAGACAGGACTACGTTGGACCGACAAGAAAACTCCAAAAGATCTACATTTCGCGAATGGTTTGAGTTCAATATCACACAAATTCGAAGATTTACAGGTGAAAACCAACAGAATGGCAGAAGTAAAAGAGATAGGACTGTGAGCGAAATACAGAAGTCATATGCTATGAAAATAACCATCCAATAACAAAAAGCATCAATCATTACTAACCGGAGGAATTCGAAAGAAGTTACTCCCTTAACTTATCCAGGAAGCATCACTTCGCCTACAGGCGGAATGGATGACGATGTCAAAACTGCAATTGGAAAGGCAAAAGAGACATTTGTTGATCTGAACTCAGTTTGGATTCCTAACGCATGTTAAACCAGTGCTTCTTTACGATTCAGAAACTTGGCGCATCACGAAATGCAGGCTATGGACACCTATCAACAGCTGTCTTTGTTCGGTATTGAAGAACAAATGGCCACGAACCAACCAACCACTTAATAAATATAGCAAGGAAAATGGAGATGGACCGGACACACGCTGAGAAGACAGTCAAATGACATCGCGCACCACTTTTCCAAGTGGAACCCGAGTAGGAGTTGAGCGTCTGAGAGTGACATGGAGAAGATCATGCGAAGATGAGAAGATATGAGCTTATGGGCAGTAGTGAAGTTAGCTGAAGAAGACCGCAGAGAAGAGGACAAAGTGGAGATGTGCTACTGATACCCTATGTTCCACTTGAAACCCAAGGGGACAATAATAATATATGTAACAATTATTAAACCACATGTCCACCTTTGAAGTTTTGATGTTTCTATATGATTCAAAGGCTTAGCATCACTTAAAGCGATTTCAACAGGCTACTGCAGATGTCCATCAACATCAACCTTCACTGGATACTGAGGATCATATGACTAGTTGAAATGTTCTTCGCGCACACTGAAGAGACATTCAAGTAAAATCACATGTCAGGTAGACTGTCGAATAGAGCCTGAATGGAAATCGATGAGCCAAATACTGGTTCTAGGGTGATATCGGGGAGATTGATTGGGGGCAGTTGCTAAGCAAGCTGAAAGTAACAACATAGAATAGTATACAATGAAGATGTGACACCGAAGGGACCTGGTGTTCCACTCAGAAAGCGAGGAATAAATATTATTAATAATAATAACAAATGGGTCGAACTTACTGAAAGGTATTCAAACTCCAATACTGGATTGCATCATTCAAGAGGTCACGAACTTCTATCACCAGAACAGTTGCCTTATTTGACTTCATTCTACGTCTTCTATCTAGTTGTTGCCAATAACTATTTGTTAACTGATTGTTTTCCTTATCTATCGCTGACAAACTCTCCAATGACGAGGATTTACTATCATGATTATCACATAAACTATAGTCAATTGTACCACTTTTCAGCTCATTTGGAATGGTTGTATACGGTGTAGATGTTAATAAAACAAATTGGAATTGAACCTAAAGTGAAAAATAAAATTTTAAAAATGTGAATCAAACAATTATTCAATATTCAATATGTCTACACGATTCTTTCTTTCCTTTAATAAATTTAAACAACACAGGGCGCATGCATATGAAATTAATGTGACATAATTTCAACATATGTTACTTGAACAATCAGTTCATTCTATGTGAGTAGAATAAAATGTTAAAAAAACAAAGCTGATGTATAAATTATACCAGAAGTTGAAATGTTCCTTGGTGCTTTGTTAATTCCCATTGCATAAAAGATATCCAATTCAAATTCAACAACCAATTCTACCGACAAATTGATGAAGTCGCCATAGGTTCACCTCTAGGACCTATTCTATCCGATATCATCATGGGTTATCTGGAACAGACGCGACTGAGTGATGCTGTCAATGAAACAACAAACATACTATCGCCCTGATATGTCGGTGATACTTTTATTATTTGTAATGACCTGAGTCAGGCATCCGTATTATTTGACCGCTTTAATGAGATCCACCCAAACATTAAATTCAGTGTGGGATACGAACACAACGACAAGTTCACTTTTCCTGAACCTTAATGTAAAAAAAGAAACGATGGAACTATCAAAAAGTCCATGTACATAAAAGAAAATTGGACGGGACAATATCTTCACTACAACAGCTTCTGCCCTATAAGCTATAAGCCGGGATTACTGAGAACACTTTATGACAGAACCAGGAAGTTATGTTCGCCTAACAAGGTAGAAGAAGAGTTAAGCTCTGTTGAAAGGTGCCTAAGGGAAATGGGTATCCAAATGGATTTATCCTAAAGTACAGCAAAGAAAACGAAGAGAAAGTGTTCATTTGCCTTCCATACAAAGGAGAAGCAGTATCACAAAGGACTGACAAGAGGATGAAAGGAGCAATAAAAAGATGCTTCCCTGAAGCCAAGCTAGTGACGATATACCGCACTACATGCTCTATAAACCAATGGAAACCCTGCTGATGTTACCTCCAACTACATTTATAAATTTACCTGCACCTGCGGCAGCAAGTACATTGGAAGGACAGAAAGAAGGGCTTCTGTCCGGTTTTCAGAGCATATTCCGAGAAACTTATGCTTAAAAGGAAGCAGATATTTACAAAGTGAAATTACCAGACACCCACCCAGTGGATACGGGTCATTCTGTAGAGATTTCCAAATCCTTGAAAATATTAAACATACAGAGGCCAGCGAATCTGCTATGATTTGCTGAAGCAATTGCAATCAAGCGTTTCAGGCCAAACTTATGCACACAGAAAGAGAATGTAGTCAATCTTTCACTCCCCTGTTAACCGTGTTACCTTCATTAAACTGATTAGCGATACACACTAGTGAGCTCAGCTCACTAAGCAAGTTTTCAATTTGATGAGCTTTAAACTTCTTGAGTTGCTCTGTTGACATACAAGCTAACACTGTCTATTCGATTTTTCTGTTTCCTGTCTTCCCTCACTCCCCTTTTTTCTTCCATAGTTTGATAGCATATAAATTGATGGTAACTTAAACTAAAAATTGTAATACTTATATTCCAGATGCGTTCATCTTATAATGTTTTCTCTATTACCTTTCAAACATTGAAGTATGAAATGTTATTATTTATAACCATTGTAATTTCAGGTAGTTCGCAGCAGATGATGAGAACCTGTGAAGTAGAATGATGATATCATTTTATGCTGCAAATCTGATGTTTCTTTCTCGATCTAAATTTACCAAGGGAACAAAATGTATGAAATTCCCATTGTGACATTAAGGACAAGATATACTGCGAAGAGACTACCTTCAACGTAATTTTTATCTATCTATATGGTCGTATATATAGATTATTTTAAAGACACCATATCCGGTGAGGAAATTTCAACAAAAGTTGTGACGGCGGCTTGCTTAAAACTTGGCCTACTTGATATATACAAACATGTCACTTTTACATGTCTGTCAACCTTTTTTTCACTGTTGTTTAGAGACAGTAAAAGCTCTCTTCTGTCTTTGCTGCCCGGCGGTATTATTACTATTGTTGTTGTTGACGTGCGATTAGGACGGATTAGCCAACACATTAAAGTTGGTACTCTCTCATAACACTACCAAAAACTTCCATCACACTGTTTATAACTTCTCTTTTTCAGTTTGTTTTAATGTATTAAAACATGACCTCTAATGGTATTTTCTACTCTCGCGAGTATTTAAAATATTTAAAACCTGGCGATTCTTAGGTTCCTAGTAAACTTCAAAAAAAGGTGAAATCGTGGCAGGCAACTTATCCTGATACAAACTGCCACTGCTTGATAAATAAAACTAACTACCTACAGCCTTCAGTTATTCATTTATATCCTTGGTTCCCGGAATTTACTTCTGCACTTTTATAAATTGGTTTTCAACCAAATATCTTGAATTTCTTGCAGACAAAGAAGAAATATCATAAGGGGCTGGTTTTCGCTTTAAGTCAAACAGCAGTGTGTAGCGCGATCTACTGTCACTTACTATTTTATCTGAATATTCTGGAAAAAGAGGAACTATTTTGCAGTGAAATTCCTCTGAAAATCCAATACATTATATAAACACTAGAAGTTAATTGGTGGATGGTGACTAGCAGTGGAATCCAGGTTAAAGCACATTTCGTCCTATTTGAGTCTCACCATCAGCTGGATTTACCTGCACTCCACAGTGAATGATAATGTTGCCACTGAGGCTGGAGCCCAGTGCTCAAAGTTATCCACTAGGCCCCTTGGGACACATGAGTCACCTCTTATGCAACGGGTCATATTAATTATTTAATCGACGGGGAAATCTAAAATTCAACTAAATAATTAATTTGCCCCGTTGCACAAGGGGTAACTCTCGTGGTCCAAGTGGTCTGATGGATAACGCTTTGGCGTATGAAACCATGGTCACTGGGTTCGAGCCTTGTTGGGAAAATCATCACTTACTGCGGAATGCAGGTCCATCCAGCTGGCAGACGAGTCCCAAATAGGACGAAATGCGCGTTAACCTGGATTCCACTGCTAGTCACCATCCACCCAGTAACTTCTAACTACATGTCTAGGCATCGTCGAAGCATCTGCACAAGAAGTCGATATGTCACCCTGAGACCGAGCACTTCGGTCCAATCAATCGACGGGAAAATATAAAATTAAGATAAATTATATAAGTACTGTTTAGAATAAAGCTGCTATTACTATTTATAATTGTATTGTGACTATTTATGACCAAAAGTAAAACAGTATATGTTGTAATGGCGGGAATATTTTGTAATTTAATGGTGAATTCCAATGTAGGCGTAGGCGGTTACGGAATCATATGAGAAATCAGTCAAACAAAATGAATGAAGTCCAGTGATCACTAATGGAATAATGAAAATCCTTATGAAGTTGAATGTATGTAAACATTAGATTACGTCACAGAGGCGAAACAAAATTTTGATGAGGTAAATTGAAAGATACAGTGCTTATAAAGATATTAATAATTTAGTGATGCCCTCTCTTTGAACACGTTTAATTCAGACTTTACTTTTCAGATGGCGACAGCTTCGACGATTCGAAGTAGTCATGAAGTGGTTTGTCTGTTCACCACCCTTATAAAATTCTAGTATATTAATCTTTTGTTGTGAATCAACCAGGTGCCAAGCTATGCTCAGCTGTTAAGTGAAGACGAACCTTCTCGAATTTTGATGTTTCGGTATATATTCATCAATCCTAGGAGACGGCTATGTCTCCGTTTTATCCATGTACTTGCTACCTCATAGTGATATGAATTCATAAACACAGTTGGAGTCAGCAAGAGTCGGAAATTGTTCTAGTTTAAAAATGTTAATCGATTGGATGTTATGACGTCCCACATTATTTGTACATCAGCTTTATTTTCACTAAAAGAATGTTTAAATTAAGTCACAGTCATTACTTATTTATTTTGATTATTGAGATCGTTTAGAGTTGATGAATATCTCAGTCAGTAGAGTGAAATCTTAATAAAGCTGATTTGATTACATTGAATGTTGTAACATATTGGCGGTCTGTTTGAATCACTGAGCTACCTGAATTTTTATCTAACGGAAGGCATCATAAATATGAGTGTAGAACTTAGGCAGTGCGGTAGAATATAATTCCATATTACCTAAGTTTATTAAATATAAAATACAGTTATAGAGAATTATAAAAACTGGATGACGTTTCGATAACAATTTGCTCCTCATAATCATATTAGTTTATTCATGCGACTGCACAGTTTTCTTCATATGGATTTTTCTCTCCCTTCCCCTTGTTGCTTACTGCACTTTTCGATAACTCCGACATAGACATTGGGACAGGGTGAAAGCGGTAAACGAGCTCGCCATGTAAACAGAAGTTACTGGGTTCCAACCCGGGCGGGTGGGTGAGTACTGATGAAGAGTCCCAAACTAGGATGAAACAACTGTCCAGCCCTCCCATCTTTTCCTTTAGTTCTCTAACCGATGTCAGCTCATGATGTAATACTGTAACAAATCAATCAAATAACTACAAACCAATACTTGATGGACTTCAGGTGAACATGGAGAAGACAGAGGTGATGAAGATTCCTGGACAACACCATCAACAGCAACAACAACAACTGACAACAATCAGCATAAATGGGAGGAACCTGAAAGAAACAACCTCCTTCACCTACCTACCTGGGAAGCATCGTTTCAACTACAGGCGGAACTGACGAGGATATCAAAGCAAGAATCGGAAAAGCAAGAAAACCTTTCATTACTCTCAAGCCTGTGTGGAGGTCAACAACACTCAGCATCAAAAATAACATCCGGATTTTCAACTCCAATGTGAAGTCAGTGCTACTATACGGATGGATCAGAAACTTGCACTGCACGTCATAAAGAGCATCTCAAACAAACTACAGACTTTCATTTACTGTTGTCTTCGCTCAATACTCAAGATCAGATGGCCAGCCAGAAAAGATCAGCAACAGGGATCTTTGGGAGCGAACCAACTCAGCAGGAACCGATTGTGAAACAAATA